TAACCATTGTACCAACAGGACTTCTCCAACGCACAAAGGACCATCAAAATCAAAGCCTTCTTGTGCACCCTCTTCTTGTGCACCTCCTTCTCCCCCATTCTCCACCATCCCAGGAACTGTGGGCCCTTGCCCCCACCCATACCCCAACTCCAGCTCTGCCCCCATCTTCTCTCTGTGGGTCTGGTACCTCTGCCCCAGAAGAGGGGACACAGCACAAGGGAGCTTCCCCTGCTCCTTCTCCCACCCCACCCCCAATCGACGTGACTCGTCTGCCAGCCAGAGACCGGCCCAAGGGCGAGCTGCTTATTCAGCACTTGATAAAATGTTGTTCAATATGAAGAAACATTTCCAACCAAATTAAAAAGATTCCCAGCAGAGGACGCACTCATCCTTTCAGAACATAGATCAGCCCGCATTGGCGTTAGCTCTGTGCCCGTGCGCTGAGTCACGCAGCCCCTGGAGCTCTGGCTCAGACAATTCTATCATTCATTTCTCTCCCAACCAGACGCCTCCCGCTAGGCACCCTGCTTTGCCGCTGTTTGGGATTCAAGTTACCATGGCTCGGGCCCAGGGCCTGTTTTATTGTTGTTTTCTGCCATGGCTTAATCGCCAGCTGAATAGGCAGAGGTTGGAACAAGTGTCCTTGAATTCCATCTCGCCTTTCCTTTGTGGCTCAGAATTCCCTCGGAGTGGTCTAAGTGTCAAAAGGCACGGCCATTACTTCAGAGCCATCTGATACGATGCAAGAAGAGATGTCACACAGGCGGCCAAGCCGGACACGTTGCTGCCAGGGTCTCTGCCCCGGGGGAGGAGGAGCACTGGGCACCCCAGACAGATGGCCTGTGGGCTCTGACAGCCAGCAACTCTCACCAAAACCTCGGCTGTCTTGAGCAAGCTGAACCCTTGGCGGGTAACAAGGCCAATCCACTGTCTTTGCTCAAAGTGAAAAGGGAGGAGCTGGGGCAATACTTGGAAGTGGTGATAGGCTAAAAATCGTTTTAGTTGGACACCTTAAGTGGGTGAGTGGTATGGCATGTAGATTATAACTCACAAAATCCATTTCATTCAGAAAAAGGAGCCAGAAATGCGATTAAACTGGTCCAAGGATAATAGAAGCCCAAGCTGTAACCATAAGCCAGCTCAGAAGGCCATAAATGGACAGAGAAGACAGAGGCCTTTACCCTGTCCAGCTTAGAGGACATGTCCTGTGCCCCCATGCACCTGCCTACTCCCCAAGCAGCTGGCAGTGGGACCTTGTTTCTTTATCCCCTTTTGAGTCACCTATCCGGTCACATTCCCCAAGCAATGCCATCCAACTGGAGGGCCCCCCTCCTCTGAGTCCCTTCTATATCTGTAAAAAGGCGAGTGCCCAGGGGGATGGGGTAGCAAAGAGGGCAACCGAGGGGACCCAGGACTCCACAAGCGTCAGACAGCTCCCAAAGACCCCCAATCCACATGCTCTCTGATCGCCCAGCCCTGTCCAGGCCATCACGGCAAAGCTGCCTGTCTCTTACCTTGTCTCCTACCTCCCCAACCAGAACCCCCACCACTCCCTCCTCTCCAACCCCTCAAGGTACCCATTTCTGGTAAGCTTTTGACTTGCTGCAGCGGCCCCCCACTCCCCTTGGCTCTCTCAGATCCTCAGCAGGTGCCCACCCTAATTGGGAAATAACCCGGGCCTGGCCTGGCCCAGCATGGGGTGCTGGCCAACTCTGTCTGGCCTTTGGGATTTAACTGAACGGCAGCTGCAGGCCCTTGGGAGGAGGGGAAGAGAGCGGTGAAGGAGATAGCTCTTTAAGGTTCTTGGGCGGACTTCATGCCTTTCTTTCCACCAGGGTACCACCGACAGGAACCCTGGTGGCTTAGTCGGGTACTGCTAAGCACCCGATCTGCAGATGAGGCTTTCTACCCCCCTAATGACTTAGAGTCTCTGAAACCCACAGGGGCAGCTCTACTCTGTGCTATAGAGTCGCTGTGCATTGGCATCAACTCGCTGGCAGGGAAAGACGAGGCTGCCTATGTCCTTGAAGATTTAGTCTTGGAAACCCACGGGGCAGTTCGACCCAGTCCCCTAGGGTTGCTATGAGCCAGTATCGACTGTGGGCAGTGAGTGTGGCTATGGTTTACAGTGGGGAAAGGAGGGAGTCTGAGACCCCCTATAGCTCAAGGCACTCTAGGGATGTAGCGGTTAAGCACTGGGCTACTAACCGCAAGGTCAGCCTATGGAAACCCCCAGCGTCTCGGAGGGAGAAAGTTGGGGCTAGTTAGTATAGACTCTTCACCGCAGTGAGTTTGGTGTCGGGTAGCCTCCACTCGGTGTTTGCTGTGCCTCCCCGCCCAGCCCAGGGAGGGACAGTCTCCCCCTCGGGGACTTGCCAGGATGTTTGTATCCTAATCATGATCCCTTTCCCACCCGGGACTGTGACTTGAACTGCTGCCGATCAAGATTCGGGGACAATTTCCCTTGTTCTCCACATCCTATGCAGGAAACCTTGTGACTTGGGGCACCACCGTGGCCTCGTGATGAGGGTCTCCCTCATCTGGGTATGTTGTCTTTGTCTTTATCTTATCTTTATTTGATTAAAGGAGTCTCTATCGTTTATAGTTAAATTTGGAGTCTTTTTCCGCCTAAAACAATGGCCAGTGGTTATGCGAGTTCACCGAAGGCTTACCAACTATTCATCCTTGACTCACCTCTGGCTTAATTTTACCAGCGGCCCCTAGCATTCTGTGCTTCTCTAGGCCCCACCTTCTCAGGAGCTCTGGGAAAGTTCTTGTGTGTGATGGGGCACGTCTTGGAAGCCATTGTGGCTCAGAGGGGACCCCAGTAAACCAGTCCTGGGCTCAGGAAGGAACTAGGGTGCCTAGCAAGTGACTCAACCAAGCCCATCTGGGAGCAGCCCCGTCACAAGCTCGTGACCTTGGCTTTTGCGTTTTGACCTTACTGCCCTGGTTGTGCAGTGGTTATGTGATGAACTACATGCGATCGGCAGATTTGTTGTTGTGTTTGGGTTCTTTGAACGAGCCCTGATGGAGAAGCGCATGGTTCGTGGTTCGAACCCACCAGCTGCTCCTGGAGAGAGAGATGAAGCTTTCTGCCCCCATAAAGCTTCACGGCTTCAGAAATCCAAAGGCCTTGCTGTCTATAGAGTCGTTCCGAGTCATACTCAGCTAGGTGGCCATGGGTTTGTGCTCTTAGGATCGCTGGTGGCCCAGTGGTTATGCGTTGAGCAGTTTGAATTCACCCAGTGCTCCGCAGGAGAAAGATGGGGCAAAACCACTGGCAGCCCTGGAAACCCCAGGGAGCAGTTCTGTCCCACGGTGTCGCTGTCGGTCAGAATCCACTCAACAGTCATGGTGGTTGGGGTTTGTTTGTTCTCTGATGAAGTTTCCTTGAAAAGCCACTTCGTCTTGGCCAGTTTAAGGGAGAGAGGTTTTGCCCCGGCAGGAAGCCAGGGGGCTCGGTCAGAGGTCTGATGCCGTCTGAGGCCACCTGAGGGCCAATGGGAGCCAGGCCGCCTGGAATGAAATGCATAACGCTGGGTGACACTACGGGACAACCCGGCTCACACGGGTCTGCTTGCCTTTCTTTGGTCTGCACATCTGTCAGGAAAGAAGGGCGAGGGCAGTGGGAGGAGGGAGCCGAGGACGCGGCCACCAGCTGGCAGCGCTCAGGGCTGCCCAAGGTTTTCCACGTGCACGGACCCTCTCCGACCCCGCTTGCCTCCCTTCCCTAGGAGGATCGCACTCGTTTCAACGGAACCCTTGACGGCGGCGGATTCAGCAGATGGCGGTGGTACCCGGTGCCGGCTGGACACAGCCTGCAGTGAGGAAGAGCAGCCACTAGGGAGCAGCATGGGCGCCAGCCGGCTCCATCACACTGCCGGTTGCTAAGCAACCGTGACGCACAGGGCTCCTTTTCACCCTCTCGCAGGCCTCTCAGGTTATTTCTGGCAAAACAGACTGTTGCACAAGCAGGAATCCCAGAGCTGCCTCCCTCGTTTAAGCCAGGAGGATCTACAACCGTCCAGGGGCCCCAAATCCAACACCACGTTGATGTCTAGGGAACCGGGCTGTTTGTTGTCCCCATGGCCATCAAACACACTGCTTTCCCGAATGGCCGGGGCAGGGGTGCCTGGCCTCTCCCCACCCCACCCTTTCTGCGCAGGCCAGGATTCAAGGCAAGTGACCTGGAGCAGGGCCTTCTCTGCCACACTGGAGGGGACTAGAGAAGGTGACGGTGAGGCCCAGCTCAGACCTCTTGGTGTCCGATTGGCCCCCTCCGCCCCAGTTTTGATGACCCTGAGAATGTAATTCTTCCAATTCATCCGGTTCCAACTGGCTAAGTGTGCCCAGAGAAACCAGAGATGGAGCCAAGAACGTGAGGCGAACACAAGACAAGAAGTGTGGCTGTAATGAGCTCAAAGCCGTGACGTCTGGTCTGGGTGAAGCCTGGTCAACATCCCAGGAGCCGTGAGGGGCCAGCCGCCCTGGCTATGGCGACAGGTGTGGGTCCAAGTCGATATTGGGGTCCTCAGGAGCCCCCCGGATCTCACTGGAGCCCAGGGTGCGATCACCCGGGTGGGGAGGTCTGGGCAGTTCACACGGGCATGTGCAGCTCGTTATACTCATCCCGGCCATCCTCGTCAAAGTTCGGCTCCGCATCTTCTGAGTCCAGCTGCAAGGGGAGCACAAGACTGGGAGGGAGAGGCGGGCAGGCAGGCAGGCGGCCCACACACCTCCCAGCCCAGCACCCCCTCTGGCCCTCCCAGTGGTCTTACAGGTCTGGGTTCAATGTCACATTCCCTTCTGGCCTAAACTTTAGGCCCCCCTGCCTCGGCTCCTTTAATCATGATTTAAAAACCCCAACAAACTCACTCACGGTCATTCGCTCAATTCCGACTCATAGTAACCCTATAGGGCAGGGTAGAACTGTCCCTGTGAGTTTCTGAGACTCTAACTCTTTCCAGAAGTAGAAAGACTCCACTTTCTCCCACAGAGCAGCTGATGGTTTTGAACTGCTGACCTTGCATTGGTCAGCAGCCCAATGCATAACCACCACTCCACCAGGGATAGTGACCGTCAGTCAGTTGACTCGTGGTGAGCCATACAGATCAGAGTAGAACCTCAGCCCCATTAGGTTGTCAACAGTGTGGATTCAAACTGCCAACCTTTTAGTTAGTCGCTAAGTGCTTAACCTTTTACCCCAGCCAGGGACTCCTGACCAGACCAGCTAGCACCTATTAAGTGCTTTCCTCGTCTAAGTGGCTGTGTTGAAAATAGATGTCCCAGCTGACAAAAACAGCTCGTGCCTGGCTGGGTGCTCTTGCTCAGAGCATGACCTGTACTGCTGTCCAAGGCAGCCTTGTGCCTACTCTGCATGATGCACTGTGCTAACAGCTTTGCCCGGCTGTTTAGTCCTGTGCAATGCAACGTATGATGAGCCCCGTCTACAGATAGGGCAGTTAAGATTTCAGAAGTGTGCCTTGCCTAAGGTCACCCCCCTAACAGACAGCTCAGTAGAGACTGAACCGGGGCCTCTCTGGTCCCAGCACTCCCCGCCCAGCCCTCTGGGCCTTACCGCCTGCAGTTCCCGGTCCTGGAAGAGCCGGGGCAGGAGGCAGCGCCGCAGAGGCACAGTGAGCAGCAGCAGGAAGGGGAAGGCCAGGGAGGCTGCCGTGGACTTGACCACCCAGAGCAGCGCGATGCAGCCCAGCTGGATACAGGTGAACAAGTGCATCCGCCACGTCTTCACCTGCGGTGAGTGCGGGCCTGGCTGTCAGCACCCACACCTCCACTGCTCCTGCAGCCTGGACGCCCGTCTCCCACCTCAGTGCCCACACCCCACCTTGGTCACGTAGGGCTGCTCGGGGTGGTGCTTCGCGGGCATGAGGATGAGCAGCAGGCGCTGAGACAGCTGGATCCCAGACAGAGACGTCACCCCCATGTACAGAAAGATCCCAAAGAGCACAGCCAGGGGGATCCGGCGCAACACAGCCCCCATGACAATGGACAGGCCTGTGGGATAATAGAGGGGGTGGGTCACAAACCTGCCTGAGCCCCCAGCCCGGCCTTCATCCCCCCAAATCAGATGAAGTGGACACAGGGAGTGTCAGGGGTCAGGTCTGGGGTCAGGGCAACGGGGATGGCATCTATCTGGAGAGTTTGGTAACACATTGTCAATCCTGGGAGAGGATGAAGGTCCCAGGGGTCTCGGGGGCTTGGCCTGAGTGGGTTTAGGTCACTGGAATCCCCAATAGGGGGCCTATGGGGAGTGGGCTTCAGGACCCCGAGGTCCCTGCGGCAGGCCTGGGGCCCAGGCTCACCCACGAGGCAGGCAATGAGCACACCAGTGACCCGCTGCTCCCGAACCTCCTGGATCTGGGGCTTGTCGCCAGGAGCGATGGCAGTCCGCATCACCGTCAGGGCGTTGACATGGGTGACGGAGCGGACAGTGGCGGCCGTGAGCCAGGGCAGCCCAAAGAGCCCACAGAGCCCGCCCAGGGAGCCGATGAGAAGTAGGTCCAGGTGGAAGCCAGAGCCTTTGAGCAGCCTCCGTGCCTTCTGGCTGACAATGAGCCTGGAGAGAGGCCAAGGAATGGGGGGTGGGCAAGGCAGGGGTGGGGGCGCGAACAATCAGAGAAGAGTGCACACTACCACCCCCACCCTGACTCCTCCAGACCCGCCAGCTTCCTCTCCATGCCCCCAATGTCAGACTCAAGTTCCCTCATTTAAGCACCTGTGAGCCCAAGCCTCACACTGAAGATTTGAAAGGCACGAGGCTGCTGCCCTGTGGGATGGGCGGGTGGGCTCTCAGCGTCCCAAGGGCTAGGAAGGGGCCCTTCCCATGGTGGAGGTGGCAGACCGATCTCATCACAGGAAACCCCTGCTTCCCACACACACGGGCCTTCAACTCCTGGCTGAGCACACCCTGCCCACCCCAGCCAGCTCCAGACACAGGTGCCCTGCCTCCGGGCCTCCCTCAACCCCAGGGCCCTGCCCTCACGCCGTGATCTGCGTTTCCATGAAGATCAGGATGAGGACCAGGAGGGCTGGGACAGCGGCTGCCACCATCATCCAGGGCGGGAAAGGGCGAGCGCTGCCCAGGGGTGGGATGAACCACGTGCGCTTGTGGGGAGAGGTCACCGAGAGGCCAGTGGGCACTGTCAGCTTCTGCAGAGCCGGAGGGCAGACGGTTCAAGGACACAGGGACACCCCACCCCCTGCAGCTGCTCCCAACAAGCACCCAACCCTGCCGCCCCCACCGCTGGCACTGCCAGGAATATGGAAGGGAACAGTCCCAGAGGAGCTTTGCCTGCCGGAAGCCACTGTCCCTCCCAGGCCAGCAAGGGACAGGAAAGGAAGCACAGTTGATCCTCATTCCTGCCCCCGATGTCACAGTTTCAAATTCATTTGCTTGATAAAGGTTCCACGCAGAGCCAGAAATGACACTCAAGGCCCATGGTTCTCGGACATGGGTGCAGCGATGGACGATGTGAGTCGCCCAACCCACAAGGCTGGTTGCACACATGCATGCCCCGAGCATCCCCTGGGGACCAAGCACACGGACAGACCCTGCCGGCTTTCTGAGCCCCCTTCTCCTGCACTCTTAGGAGCACACAGAAGGAGCTTCTGAACCTCCACCCCCACCCACCTTGGTGACCTCCACTCCAAGAGGCCCACGCAGGTGGCCACCATGACCCCAACGGGCCCATGTCCTGACCACCCTCCCCCCAAGGACTCCAGAGTGGGGCCCAGCGGCAGGACTCTGAGCTCACTCACCTGTGTGTAGGTGTCTGTGATGGAGTAGTCGACCAGGACCATCACCAGGATGGAGATGGGGATGCCGAAGTCCCCAATGATGCGGCGGGCCTGGGGCGTGGAGGTGGGGGATGAGGGCAGTCAAGACACAGCCCTGCGTCTAATTACCCCAGCCCTCCTACCATCTGATCTGGCACCAGAAGCCCCCAGCCTGCCCTTAAAGCACCTCTCAGATGCCAACCCTGGCAGGAGCAGCCAGGCCTCTGGATGGGTCCCTGAGGGGTGGCAGGGGACAGTCCCTCCTGGCCCCCGAAGCCACACACCTTCCCGCCCAGGAAGCGGCTGTTCCTGAACTTGCGCAGGAAGAAGGCGATGAGGAAGGTCCCCAGCATGAGGATGAGGGACAGCAGGGCCGTGTTGGGCTGGTTCCTAGGGCCCGGGGGCCCCTCGGTGGGAGGCAAGGCACTCCCGTTCAGGTCCAGGGTGGTCGCAAGCACCCCTTCCAGGGCCCCCTCCAGGGGGTAGAAGGGCAACAGTGGATGCTCAGTAAACACCTGGGTGGCAACAAGGATGCCCCGTGGCTTACCTGGGCAGGTGACCCTGACTTCAGCAGTGTTGGTACACCTGTGAGGGAGAGGGCCAGGCCCCGCAGCCACCAGAAGAGGCCACAATGACACAGACCTGCTGCTATGTCACAGGCACACGCAAACATGCATGCACAGCCTCCATGAAAGATAACCCAAGCCCACCTGTCCCTTGCCAACCGGGGACCCCTCCACCTGGTTCCTAAGCTCTGCCTGGTCCCCTGAATTCAGGATGCCACCCCCTCACTCAGATCTAAACCAGTTCTCGCCCCCAACTCCCTTGGCACACCCAGCAGAGCCCCTCCTACGCTCTCCTGCCCACGCTCTCCCTACCCATCACCACCACCCTGGCCCGCCCCGCCCCACCCTGACGCCCACCTTGTAGAGCTTGTGAAAGGTCTCGTAGATGAAGATGAGGGAGATGAGGAAGGCAAAAATCTCCTGCGTGAAGGGCGAGATGTAGCGCACCAGGAAGCTGCCCTCAGCAGCCACCAGGGCCAGAACGAAGACCACCAGCCAGAGGCCAACCCACACGCGGCTGGTGAGGTACTCCAGGTCCTGGGCTCGGCAGAACTGGAAGCAGGAGGGGGGTATTACATGGCTGGTGTGCACTGGACACTGCCCTCACCGGACAGGGGGTTAGGGGGAGGAACATCAAGGGGAGCCAGGGCAGGTGGGCCTGGGGAGCTAACAGGGGCTGTCACCTTAAAAAAAGCTTCTTCAAAGACGAGCAGGGGCCCAGAGAAGCCCACCACAAGCAGCGGCTGGGCTCCCAGGAGCGAAAAGATAACGCCAAGCACAGCCGTGGACACAATCAGCTCGGATACGCCCATCAGCCCCTCCGTCTTCTCCCCTGACCGGAAGAGGCGGGCGGTGACTGGGGCAGAAGCCTCCATAGCCCAGAGGGTGGTAGAGAAGTCCCCGCACCTCACCCCGCCACTTCCAACCCTCCCAGACCCCTACCAACAGCCTTTTGTAGCCACACACACACCCCAGCAATTGCTGTGATACCCCAACCCTGTAGCTCCCTACATGACCACACCTCACCCATCCGTGCCCAAAGGTGGTCACCGGTCATCCTGAGCCAGAACCCTGCAGGTGGGGGACACTGGCCCCTTCCCTCTCCCAGCCCCTCCTCCCCACGCCGCATAACAAAACCCCAAAGCTGATCAAATGGCCCCAAGGTGACCGCCGGCTCCCTCACCTAGCAGCCCCCCAAAGGTGATGGCGGGGCTGAGGGCAGCAAAGTAGATGAAGAGGACGGCAGCCACGCACTGGGAGTGCAGGGCGTCCCGCAGGTCGCTGGGGTAGTAGGGGTACCGGCGCTTCACATCCCGCACCAGTCCCCCAAACACCGAGCCGGTGCGCAGCAGGGGGTCATCTTCAGGGATCCCCTCGGGGCCCCCCAACTCCACAGACAGCTCTGGAGGACGAATAAGGGACTGCTGGAACACAGACCACAGGCCTCTTCCTTGGAGGCCCAGCCCGGGGATGGGTGGAGACACTGGGTTGGGGATCTGAAGGTTTCAATACAAAGTGTTCCACCCCCCAACCCCACCCCAGCGTGGGGACTCCCGGGAGGCTGGGCCGACCTTTCCCAGGCGCCGCCCCGCCGCCCGGCTTGCTCGGCTCGGCCTTGGTCTGCTCCCGCTCCCGCCGCTTGCGCAGCAGTTCCCGCTGGAAGGCGGCCACCGAGCGCAGCAGGTCCCGGCCCTCCACCTCGGACGGGGGGATGACGATGCTCCCGTCCAGGAACTCGCTGATGGCGCTCAGGAGGTCCTGCCGGTCGTCCGCCTGGTAAGCGGCTTCATGGAACACCTGCGGGCGGGAGGGGGCGGGGCCACTTCTGGTTGGGGGTGCCGGGCTCCACAGGGCAGCAGGCAGGGTAGAAGCACCGCCGGGCCAATAGTCACATCCCAACTCACTGCTGTGCAATCAGTGCCAGCTCACAGCGACACCCCAGGCCAGGGTAACACTGCCCGAGTGGGATTCTGAGATCGCAACTCTTCTGGGAGCAGAAAGTCCCTTCTCTCCTCCCACAGAGCTGCTGGTGGTTTCGACTGGTGAATGAATGATCGCCTGGGAACCCCCACCCCCACCCCACCCCCCAGGTTAGAGGCTGGTCCTGTCCGAGCCCAGAGGAATCACACGCAGGCCTCTCCTGCCCCAACTGAAGCTTGGGGCCCGGCCTCTGCCCTGCACCTATCACACCCCTCTCCTTCCCCGCTCTCCCTCAATAAGCACCCCCATCACTGGCCCCCCCAAAGAACTGACTCCACCCAGAGGGGCCCCAACCCGCCCTGCTTCCATGGGCACCCCTGTGGCCAATGGGACACTTACGGAACAGGGCAGGTGGGATGGGGGTGGGGGGACAAGCCCGAGGGCCCACCTTATCGGACATGAGGGTGGCAATGGAACGCCCCAGCTCGTGGTAATCGGTGCTGGTGTGGCGGGGCCCCAGCAGGATGAAGAGGAAGCGGACCGGCACCGGAACCTCCAGCACGGACTCCAACAGCACAGCTTCGCTCAGCCGCACAAAGGCCGCCGCCGGCTGCTCCAAGAAGGGCACGCTGCCTGGAGGCAGAGGAAGGCGCCGGGCTGGGCAGGGGGCCTCCTCTGAGGGCAGGCTGGGCCACCCTGCACAGTTGGGCAGGTTGGGCCCTGCACAAAGCAGCCGCCATGGAAAGAGTAGCTATGGGTCTGTGGATGACAGAACGACCGATCTACCGACAGCTAGAAAACAGTTCAGGATCTTAAGAAATTGGGGGGGTGGGGGGGTGTCTCTCTAATTCTCGCCAAGGAGCTCAGTTGGTGGACTAGCAGTAGTCCGAGGGGACCGGAGACTGGATGAGAAGAGGGAACGGGGCAGGAGGGGCTGCGGCGAAAGTGGCTTATGAGGAAGAGCAGGGTGAGGTGGGGGTGAAGAGGCAGCCCCAGGCCCATGCTCAAGACCAGCAGGCCCCAAGGGGGCCCTGTCCCACACACCTACCCGCCCACCCTGCTCACCCACAAGCACCACGGTGGCCTCAGCGTCTTCCGGGATCTTCTCCAGCAGCTTCAGGCTTTTCCCCCGGTGACTGTCTCCGCCGGGCATGTGCAGGGGCTTCTGAGGACGCAGGACTGGAATAGGGCTGGGACCCAGACTGGAGGCCATGGCAGGGCCTCCCACCCCCCACTGCAGTCCTGGACTCTGCCGTCCAGCCCCTGGGCCTGGGCCCTGCTTCCTCCCTCCCAGGTGGGGGCCCCCCCATCAGGAAGGGCCGCCCCGGGACCTAGCCACCATGCTAAGCCTCCTGCTGTTGGGCAGAGGGCACTCCTGGGGTTACAGCAGCGGCAGCAGCAGCCTAACAAATCTTCTGCTTCCCCAGGGCATTGAGCACTCGGGCTCCTGGGGGCCCCTGCCCGAGAGTCACAGGCTTAGCCTAGTGCCAGGTGGCCACCACCCTGGCCTGCCCAGTAAAGCCATCAGTCACCTCCACTGAAGCTGGATGCCCCATCAGTCCCCAGGCCAGGTCAGAGCCAAGCCACTGACCTCCTTGGCATCGGGGTCATGAGGCCAGAGTGGGGCAGGCTCCCCAAGGTCATCGGCCATGGTGGGCACCGCACTGTCAGGGCCATGGCTGGGGGTCGGGTGGTGGTTCCCCAGGACAGAGTTCATGCTGGAACTCGACGGGTTTCGGGGAAAGAAGCCACTGTCCTTGTCATCGTTCGGATGGCTGGTGAGAGCGGGAGGTGGGTCAGTGTCAGGCGGAGGTCAAGGAGGGGTGAAAAACAGAGTCAGCTTAAGGTGACTACCAGGGAAGTGTGTTCCTGGAGGCAGCAGAGCCCAACCCCCACCCCCACCCCACCCCACCCCACCCCCAGCCTGGCCTGGCTCTATCCAGCACCTGTGTTTCAGCAGCAAGGTGCGGAGGATGCTGGCCCTGTCCTCTGGCCGGATCTGGTCGGACACGATCATGGTCTCCACCACCAGGTGCGCGATGCCTGGCAGGGTGGTCTGCTCCAGGTCCAGGAGGGCCGCGCCTGGGCAGTCCAGGGAGGCAGGAGCACATCAGGGAGAAAAAGGCCACCCATCCACTACCCTGCTCCCCCACGTGTAAGAGGGCAGGTAGGCAGGCAGGGGGCAGGGGCTGAGGGAGCAGAGAACCTAGGTCAGGGCAACCACAGGGCACTCGCCGCAGGCCAGGGAGGGAGGCCAAGATGAAAGGGTGAGCATGGGCACTGGCTCATCTGTCAGCTATTGGGCACCTCCTGGGTGGGACAACACAGCTGTGCCCCCCGCCCCCACAAGAGCCTGCGGGCCGCTGGAGCGTCTGAACCCCATCTCCAAGATGGCCGGAACTCACAGGGCCAAGGCCCCCATGGGAGCCACAGGAAGGGGCTGTGGGTCCCTACCATGGGCAATGGTCCTCCGGAGCTCCAGAAGGCTACGGAAGGAGAGGGAGGCAACATGGGGCTTGCCCCAGCGCTCTGTCTCCTCCTCCACATCTTCCTCGAACTTGATCCAGCGGGCAGTCTCCCGCCAGTGGGGCTCCTGGCCTCGGTCTATCATCAGCTCATTCAGCTCCACAAACACCTGGGGTGGGCGCCAGGGGTCAGGCCTGAGCTCTCCCAGCAGGGCCGGTGCAGGGGGAGGAGTTGGGGGTTGGGGGTGTCCAGGGTAGACAGGCGAGACAGGGTCCTGTACCTCGTGCGGCCTCCGATCCAGCTTCTTCTTCTTCTTCTTCCTGCGCAGCATGGGGGCCAGGCCACCGGGACTGCCCCTCCCACTCTGGGTCCGAGATGGCTTCTTCACCAGGTGTCGCCGCACGCCAGGGTTGTCCTCCAGCCGGTGACCTAGGGAGGAGGTCAGCTGGGCAGGCCCGCAGGTCAAGCTCCGGGCCTCAGGGTCATGGCCCAGCCAGCCCAGGCCTCATTCTGCCCACAGGAGCCCTCGGTTCAACCAGGGCATGTCACACAAGTGACTGAGACCCAGAGGGGGAAAGGTCAGTCCAAAAACATGCAGTAAGCCACCGGCCAGACACAATAAAAAAGCCAGACCCTCGAGGCTCAGCCCTACACTGTGGCGTCCCCATCTGCCCTCCTCCACCACTGCCCCTGTGACCTGTTTCTGCACCTTTGTCTCTACCCCACAGGTACACAACCAAGCACACTCCGGCAAAGCTGCATCCCCTGACTCCACCCTATCCCGCCCCCAACCTCTCCCAGGCCAGCAGCAGCAGGACAGGACAGTTGGTACTCACAGGCTGGTCCCCCTGCCATGGGGCTCAGTTGGCCCCTGATGGACTCCCAAAGGTCATAGTCCTCAAAGTCCAGCGCAAACATCTCTAAGTCCCCTGAGGCCAGTGAGTCACGAGGGCTGGGGTCTGGGGCCGTCCCCAGGCCCTGACCCACAGTGTCCCCGGGCCCAGGGCTTAGAGTCCCATTGGGCTCGGTGACATCCTCCTGGGGGCTCATCATCCCCTGCTCCCTCCCAGAGCACCAGTTCTCCAAGAGCCAGCAGCCTGGACAGGACTGGGCAAGGTCCCACCAGAACTAGAGGTGGCCAGACCGCCCAACCTGGACTCGCCAGGGCCCAAAGCCTTCTCCCTCCTGCTGCCAGCCCCCACCCTAGCTCTGTAAACACGCCTTCCCCCGGGCCCCCACCCCCACCCCACCCCACAGCTACTGCTGCTGCCATCGGATTGTTCCTGTCGCTGTCCTCAGGCCCTGGCAACTTTCCATGACGTATTGAGCTCCGAGCCCTCCCCCGTCACCCACACACTGGTTCCGAGGAGGGGAGGAGGGCGGGGTCGGCGATGCCCCTGGCCTGGGCACAACGCCCCATGGGTGATGACAGGTGGCCCAGAAGCCAGGGCGCTGATAGGACAGAAAGAATGTGTGGCCATCACACCAGGCCCCGCCGAGGGTGGAGGGACAGATGGGGGCCTGGACACTGACCGGGCCTGGCCTAGTGGCTCCGAGCCCAGGGGGCAGGCTTGTAAGGGATTAAAAGAGCTGAGGGGTGTTGCCCTCCAGGAGTCTTAGGGGGAGGGGACAAAAGATGTCTCCAAATGTCACGTGATGAGGGAACAGCTGTAGTCTGGGGGTGACTCAGAGGACAAATTCAGGGCCAAAGGGCCAAGGTGTCAAGAAGGGAAATTTCAGCTCTGAAACCCGGGAGACAGCTTGGTGAGGCAGTGAGTTCCCATCGCTGGCCACATTCCAGCAGACAGGAATGCTGCAGGGAGCACTCAGCCCTGGGTGGCGGCTGGCACAGAGCCTCTCCAAGGTCCAGGGCAGACGAGGGGCTAGGGAGCCTGTGGGCTCTCACTCACTTTTCATGTCATCCAGGTCTGCAGAGCCAAGCATCTGAGCCTCAGCCTCGTCCGTGGGTACCTGCTGCTCAGGGCCACCCAGGTTGCCCAGAGCACTGCCTGGGCACAGCCGCTCCCGCAGGTCATAGCTGGCCGAGGGGCTCCAGGGTCGGCTCTTCTCCCCAGCAGCAACTCGAGAGGCCCGGACTCTGGGGCTGGGAGAGCTGAGGAGCAAATACGGCCTTACAGGGAGATGGCCCAGGGCAGGTTAGGAAAAGGCCAGATCCCTAACTCTCCCCAGCTCAGGTGGGGCCTGGAGTGGCCCTCTGGGCACAGAGGCAGACAGAAAGGGACCAATGAATGGCCTTCCTCTCTGTCCTTCGCGCACCCTCCTCTCCTCTCTCTGCCCCTGGACCCCTCTCCAGGAGAGCTCTCTCCCTCTCTTCACTCCCCTCCCACTTCCTCTGCCTTCCTGCCTCCTCTCTTCTCTGGGAGATGGAGGTCAGGAGCTTCGGACCTGACTGCTCTGGGCTGGGTCCCGCTGAAATCGGGCGAGGCCGGTACCTGACCAAGTGCTGGGGGCTCTTGTTGGCACACGGGCCCACTGAGGGCAGGGGTCTGGAGGAGGCAGGTCGCCCCAGGAAGCCAGGGCTGTCATCTTCGTCGCTTCCGATGGAGAACTGTGGATACACACAAGGCTGCTTGGGCCCCTGCCCCAACTGTGCTCAGGCCTCCCCGGCTCCCTGCACCCCTGCCTGAGCAGCCCTTCCCCCTCTGGGGGCAGCACCTACCTTGGCTTTCTGAGGGGATGCCGTCGAGGGTGGGGGCTCTGAAGGTTCCGCTTCAGACTCTCCTTCCTCCTCCTCCTCCCCCTCCTCTTCCTCTTCCTCCTCCTCCTCTGCCCCACCTCCCCGCTCCTCCTGGATGGGAGGGGTACCCTCGGAGGGCGGGGCAGAGGTTTTCTCCTTCTTCCTCTTCCTCCTGGTGTGCCGGGCAGAGGTGGGGGGCGGTCGCCAAAGCTTGTGGGGTGGAGGCAGGCGCGCTGAGAGCGGATGGTGGGTGTGGTGGGATGTATGCCGGTGAACTAGAGGTGCAGGAGAGCAGGTTGGGGCACTGCCGCAGACCAGGCCCCTTGCCACCCTAGGGGCACACACCTAATCCTAGCTCAAGGCCTCAAACAAGTGCACCCTAGTCCTTCCTCCAGGGCCAGGCTCCTCCCAACACCCAAATCCATGGGCCTGCCACTGGGAAGGCCTGGTTGAGTAGGGGACAGGGGCGAAGGAGGGGGCCGCGAAGGGGGGCTGTGGGGTTGGGAGGGCATGACCCATCAAGGGAGGGGAGGGCAAGGTCAGAGGATGGGGGGAAGTGGGATGGGGGGCAGAGACAGGGAGTGGGGCTGGCCGTGAGGCAGAGCCAAGGGGAAGGGGAAGGTCAGGAGGCAGGCAATCAGGCTCGTGTGTCCCTACATCTCCCCTGTGTCTGGGCCCTGCTCCCCCTGCAGCGGACAGGCGATGGGGGAGTGAGGCAGGATGACCGCACAAAGTCCAGCCCAGCGCCAGCACAGGACAGGCACTTGGTGGCCAAGCTTTGGTGGGTGGTGATGGTGGCGATGAAGGTGATGGTGGCGATGAAGGTGATAGTGGTGGTGGGGGGGCCGGCTGCCTTAGGGGACCCAGGCTACCCACACTCAAAGTCCCGCTCGCTGTAGCTGCGGCTGGGCTTCTCTGAGTCCCAGGCCGGGGGCTTGCTGATGAGGTCCCCAAACCTGCTCACAGCCAAGGTCTTGCCCAAGTCATCGTCCTCCTCCTGTGAGTCTGGACCCAGAGGGGGCTCCTCTAAGGGCACCCGGACCTGCAGGCCCAAACAGCCTCTCCTAAGGCCCGGTTCCCCAGGAACCCCACCGGAACCCCACGCGTACACTAAGCCCTGGTTGTGAGCGTAGGGGCTAGCGGCTCCATCCTCCGCAGCCCCTTCTCATAACTACACGCGGGAGGTAGGGGGGGCAGAGCAGCCAGCACCCCAGAACCCACCCTTGCAGGCTCCCAGGAATTGGGAGGAGAGGAGGCAGCAGACCCGGAAAAGGCCCAAAGAGCCCCCTCCTCTTCCACCCTCCTTGGGCAGGCCAGAGGACACCCCTCCCCTCCATGGGGGTCCCTCCCCCTCATCTTCCCTGGCTCCCACGCGTCCATCACCTGGGGCAGGGGGGAGGCGCCCCCGGGCGGCGGGATCACTCCGTTGGCCATTGCCGGGCGGTGGCTGGGTAGGCTCTCGCTCACTCGGGGACCCGTGACCCGGGTGAGGACAAGGGGGCGCTGCGGGGGCCTAGCGG